TTGTAAATCCATCCCGTGATTAGATCTTTCTTGTATTATGCGTCATTTCCTTCTCACGTTTTTTCATCTTTTTTCATAAGTAAAACGCAAACGTCTCGGTGGCCAGTATTCTTTGGCTGTATTCGTACTGCTTGTCAGCCAAAGAGGTTGTATTTTGCACTCAATAGTTTTACCAAACTTCGTATCAGTTTAATGTTTTTTTTTAAGGAGATGGGCGCAAACGAACAGCGGATCGTTTAAAAGCTTTGAGACATCCATGGACTCATCCGCAGATTTGCTGGCCTCATAGAATTCAAATGTATACGTTTTCTCGGATTCCATCATCAATTTATAGCTGCACTACAGTTACTTACACTTGAGTAAACCTACACACAGGGCCTACCGAGAGCAACAAAATCCGGATTTGAAAATGAAATTCCGAAAATCAAGCCTTAGAATTTATTTTTAACTACATATAAAAATGCTTTTAGTATACTTTTGAAATATAGTGAAATATTGGGAATTTAATTTGTTTGGGCTAAACAATTTAAAGAGCTTGTTGTCGTGTCGATTATAACAGGAAATTGACTGGAATGAAGTCCATAGCTTGTGTTTAATGGTCCCGGAGGAAGGCTCTATTAGTTTCATACGTCGCTTCAGATTTATGGCCCAATGGATGGGATGTGTGAAAAATGTAGTCTCATTTTATCTGACTTGTTGTTGCCTTTATGATGCAGGTTATGTATTTACATTAACATATCACAGTGAAGTAAACGCTGAAAATAATTAGTCTATTAAGATATTAGACTTTAGAATAGGTTCGTCATTATTCTAAGGAGATCTTACAATTCTTTTGTATTTTGTTAACGGTTTAAAAAATGTATGTCCATTTATTTCTAGAACACATTGAAAAGTGATAATGCTAAGCTTCGAGCCGTTAAATTTCCCATTTGAAGCTATAAAGGCCATAATTATTTTTATTTCCCAAAAAAAAACGAGCACACATTACAGTGCAGAGAGCGTACGCGATTCATATTAATGCGGGCTATTAACCACGGAACGCTCGATAAATTCCCAAGGGCGATAGAATAGCGATTTATTTACGTATGGAACGGTGTTCTGACGTAAAATATCGCCAACGCCTACTCCTCCGCGTATCTAGACTTTGTGAAATTGCTGCCTTATCGTAAGATGATATACTGATCCTTGAATAAAAGCATCGTGATAAGCGAGAAACATGCTGCAAATAATACATAAAAAGCTTCTTGGTCTTATTATTTTTATGTCTTAGACAAATTACTTGATAAAAATTGCAAGAAAGATAGTTTCCTTTTATATTCTAACCTGTTCTGTCTCTTCTTTTATTATTTTTAAATGTTGTTTTCAACGAATTGTATTTCATTATATGAAGATAATCTATATTTATAAATATTTTTCTGTAATAATAAAAAATATTAGAATTTTTAATTTCCATACACGTTCTCGTAATTCTGCCAGCAATTTCGTTTCATTAACAAAGCATTTAAAGGTCACAACTTATCCGCTTTGATTTACAACACGTTCGATTCATGCAGACACGGTTTTATTGTCTTTTCAGTTTCACAGTTTCCAATAACTGTTTTCCACAATCCGTTTTTCGCAAGATTTCTTTTGAATCGGATCGCATTGTTTTGTGGTGATTGTGAATCGTTTGTTTATTTTTTCGACAAATAACTTTTCATTAGGACATTCATGACAGGATATTTAAATGTTGAATTGTTAAATTTTGTTACTTCTACTGTGTTATCCAATATTTTTCTATTTCTTTACACTTTAACTATAAATCATCGTTATTGTTATATAGACTGTTTATTTAAAAGGATCCTATGTGTAATATTTTAATAGTTATCAAGTTTGTGTTTGCAGAATATTGTATTCTCAATTTTCATTTCGTTATTTATTTCTGTCACAATATTCATAAAGAATATTGAGTTACAAAGCGTACATATTATCCCAAACATAATTAAAACACAATTAATATTATACAATGGTTAGTTGTAATAACTGTATTCACGTCTGCCTACACAAAAGAAGCCAATTGCTTTATTATCAACTCCGTAGCGGCAAGTTACTCATCCATATTCCTATTATCCATTTTTATCGCGTCTTCGCTCACAATGGAACTCTCCATGTGAATAATGGTGTAAGTGTATACGCCTGACAGAACCGAGATATAAATCTTTCAATAATCGATGTCGGCGGGATGTTTATTTATTGCATCGATACCGTGAGCATATCGATATTTTTTTCCCTTGATATTAACAATACCGATGATTTATAAGCCCTTATTCTCGGCGCGAATCTCATTGTAGCAGGCACAAAGTGGAACGTAATAAACGCTTTGCGAATATAACAGAGTAAATCTTAACGGGTGCTTTGTCATTTTATATCTGATTGCTCGTTTTAATACTGATGAATGTACCTTTCACTATTGAATTACGATGTATGATATTTTGTTTGTACATTTCATAATATAATAATGATGTATTTTGTAATTAACGCTCTAGTTTCTCCTTCGGAGAAATTTTACAAAAGAATTAGTACCACATCCTTTTTGTACCATTAAAATTATTAACTTTAAGAGTAGTCATATTTATATTTAACATTAATTTCGTATTGTTACTTATTAAATGATTAATGCTGTATCCAAATTAAGTTTAAATTGTTACGTAAACACAAAAAATACGACAACCGTAAGCAATCTGTATGTAATTATTCTCGGACAGACGAAACAGAAATCGAAACAGAAGAAACCGAGCCGCCTCCAGAGATACTAGAGATACCAGAAGTTCAAGAAATTCCATATATATCGGAGATTCCAGAAATTGCAGAATTACCAGAAATTCCGGAAACTCCAGATATTTCACAAAGTCCAGATATTCCACAAAACCCAGATATTCCACAAAACCCAGTTATTCCACAAAGTCCGGATATTCCGTTAAATCCGGGTATTCCAGAAATGCCGGAAGGTTCAGAAGTATTTACAGAAGAGACAATATCTGGAATACCAGTTGTGAATGATTCATCAATATTATTTATACGTTATCTGACACGTAAGTTTTGTATTTCTAACTGTATTCCTCTATTACAGGGATTGTTGGAGTTTTGATCGAGCTGTCATATTATTTTTGTCGTTTTATTTTCTATTGTATTTTGTAGTGTCCAGCAATAAAGTTCCAACCTCCGATCTTATAGTTATAAAACCTTTTTATGCATAAAGAATTATTCATTTTAACGCCTTCTCATTTTATCGAATACTAAATTTCTGTTGTCACGTTATTTAATTGCAACTGGAATTGCAATTCCCCTTTGCTGACTACGAAAATGTGACACGACGAGACGCAAATTCAGCATTTTGATCCCCTGGAATAATAAATATTCGGCAATAATTGATAGCAATATTTCCCTTTGTTGCGCTGTGATTTCGTCGGGTAGACAGTTTTATTGGTCGTCGATTCAACCATAAAACACCACCGACAATTTTTAGTCCGACCATTACATCGGCAAGCGGACCGCTCTCTCTGTGGATTTAGTTCTGTTAGAGTATTAAAATTGTCCGACCGGTTAATTTACTGAATTGAATTGGTGCAGTATTTGTTGTCCGTGCTATTTGCTTGTCAGAGAATTTCTATGAAAACATTTCATCGATACTGCATTGCTATTGAGATTAAAATATTATAATAGGTATTGATTTTAGAAGGTATATCCTTGTATTAATAAAACAATACCTTAATTAATATAATTCACTAGAAGAAAACTCTGATAATTAATTCTAATGACTTTAGTAAATTAAATGTGTAAAGAAAACTCTTCCACCCGTGGCGTGAGAAGCGCAAAATGTCTTGATAAATCTTTCCACATATTGAAATGACGAGGAGGCGCTAAATCGCTCGACGAAAGCAATTTAATTTTCGTACATGGTGGCGTCTAGGCCGCGCTTAATTTAATCCAGCTTAGTTGGCGCGAACGGCGTAAAAAATGGCCGCCTTTTTTTATTTGTATGCGTACGTCGGCACGTCCTCGCGACCGTTTCAATCCCGCGCACATATAAAACGTGACCATTCACATCCAAGTCCGTCGAGAAATAAACATAATCCGTCACGCGAATTCGGTTTTTTATGTCACCGAGCGACGTTGATTTAAAAACAAAAATTTGTGTTTGATAATGAAAACATCGGTATCTGATAAGCAATTGTATATCGAAAGCACATTAAGTTGTCGCATTCGAAGAGATTACTTTTATTTACGTTCCGGGGTTTTGAGGATAATTTGTATGGTCCCACGTGTGACGCCCAGGTTGATATGAATCGTTTTACGCTTGCTGGCTTATACCGCGGTCAAAGCGGATCCCACCTTTTTTTTGGATATCTCTAATCCGAGCTTCAACCTCCGCAGTGTCCGCTCCATGAATATTTTAATTCCTATGTGGCAATCTCCGAAAATATGTTGGCCCCGTTCGTTTATTAATGTCATATCGATCGCTGGATTCTCTTCCCAAGGGACGGCCACGGATCGTACAGAGAAGTAAATGGGATTTCATTTTCTAGTTCAGAAATCAAACGTTCCCTGCGGCACCCGTCCAATGTTCTACCGGCACTCTTCAGAGACACTTTGTTCTAGATTGTTAGTGAAAATTCGTCTGCTTAAATTAAAAATTAACTAATCGTACTATGATGATTGTTTACCTTTAATATTTTAATACATTACATGTCGTTTAACATATTGAATTATTTTACCAGGAACAGTTATTAATAGTTCTAAATAAATCTTATAGAATAACTGTTACTCTAGAAATGTCTTCTTTTATACTGGACACTACAAATCAACTATAGCTTGTCTTTCAAGATTTATTTTTATTATTTTCCTTTTGATGTTTATCATTTTATACTTCTTAAAGAAAATGTTCACAATTTATTATTGTGCAAATGTAATGAAGAATATCCGTAATCCGTTACTAATTCGTAACGTTTTTGTGTGTTTAGATCCACCCGAATTAACGATTCGACCACAGAACCTGCAAGTACGAGTAAACGGAATCGCCGCCTTCTACTGCGCCGCCCGCGGAGACCCCATACCCAATATTCAGTGGCGAAAGAACGGCAAACGAGTTTCTAGTAAGTATTCTTTAATTACGCGTTTCGTCTGATGAATGTGCTGCCGGAGGACTACTTTTAGTCCCTTTTCCTTACCAGCCTTTTCTTAAGGGAAAAGGATAGGAAGGAAAAATGGATTTGACAGTGAAGGATACGCCTAGCAAGAAATATCCTCTTTATGTGCGGCTTCTCCTCCGTCGATTCAGTGTAGGCAACGCATCTGCAATTGCGGCTGTCTATGGGTAGCAGTCGCTTCGCCAATTCGGCGGTTTTATGTGGCCGCTTGCTAGTTTACCAACTTATAATAAAAAAAGTACATCCAAAGGTCAAAAGTAAACAAATAAATAATTCTTCCGTGTGTTTATGTGATTGTACGAAATGTAAAAAGGGACACTCAGTTCTAGAAATATCTGCATTCGGTAATGACGCTCGTAAGGCCAAGAGTAATGAGCTGAAAAAATGTAGTCCTTCGACCACGTATGCGAAAACTTCTCTCATAGATGTCCCTATTCATTCCCCTTCTAGATAGTTCGTTCGGGCCGCCATGAAATATGTAATGGCGTCGATCATCCGTTCAGAGGGCGACGACCATAAAAGAATAATGGTGGCGATGATACGCACCGATCTCATTTCATATTCTACGTGTTTTATCTGACTTTAGTCGCGATTCGTCCATTTGTCGGGCGACGAGACGATCCATCAAATAGCCTCCCGATAACTGCACATTTTGTATCTTGCAAACAAAGGACGAATAAAATTTATCCTCCGAAGATTGCGACGTTGATGAGAAAACTGTTTTGATATAAATGGATAAATCGCTTATGTCCTGGTTTTCATACTCCATTTTTTTTACCATAAATGCCATCGTTTTTTCTATTTATTGTTATGTAATTACTAATTGATATAATATTGCGTCATAAATTGTACAATTTTATTTACGATTAAGCTGTACGGACGTGAAATAAATTAATTTATTAATTTTTGATTAACACTCGATTTCGGTTTACGAGTACAAAGGCGTACTACAGAATCATTTAAAATTATCAACATTTAAATAACATAGTGGCTCGTGCCCCGTAATTAATTAAAACTAATTTTACAAATTAATCAATTTAAGCGGTTAAAAAGTGTCATTGCGTATGAAATTAGTGACTCGTGTTTATTTCGCTCCAGGGAGCGAAAAGGTGTTCTAGTGAGTTATTTATGCGTGTAAATCGAATTAAATTTATTCATTTGTTATAAATTTAAAGTAAACCTTTTGTAGACTATTGTACAATTGTTGTGCGATTATCGATTGTCGATTGTTTCGCAGCAAAATCAACTGTTTAATTACCCAACTAAAAATCGAGTAGTGTGCGCACCTCCATATAAGCTCATAGAAATCAACACGCGACTAAACAGTAAGGATCAAAACATACAAGAAGATTTATATAGATATTTTTTGATTCGAAACTACAATACTTTTTGAATTACATTTAATTAAGCATTGTTTAATTTCTTAATTTATGTTTGCAATAGCTTGTGTTTACGAGTAAATAGATTTATCTATTCAGTCTTGGTTATTGCCTTACATGATATTTGATTAAAGTGTTTTTAGTTGTAATAATTGTTTAAACTGGATTATTAGTTATATTTATAATCTGAATATATATTCCATAAAGAACTACATAAGCAACCCTCGCAAGTTTGTTAGATTTATTGAAATCTTTTTTCCACACAACTTTGTCTATGACTTCGACAATTTCGAAGTTAGTTTCAAAGTATTGAGAGCACTCGTCCGCTTTTCTTTGTCCCTTGTATAAACTGCAAGCATTTTTGCAAGCGGAGCTTTTCCAAACTTCTTAACTTAATAATTTTTGTAGTATACATTTTTATATCTTACCAATATTTTGTATCCCAGAGTATATTGCGATTTACCCATTGAATTTGTTGGCACCTTTGATTTATTTATTACTAGCTTTCGCCCGTGACTCCGTCCGCGAGGAATTAAAAAAAGCAAAAGTGCCTATGTGTTCTTCCAGACTATCCTCTACATCTACACCAAATTTCATCGAAATCCGTTCAGCCGTTTATGCTACAAACTTTAACAAACATCCATCGATCCATCCAACTAAACTTTCCCATTTATAATATTAGTAGGATTTGTAATGCAATATGATATTCGATATCTATGTTTTGTAATCTATATATGATAGGGAAGAGCCTATTTTTCAACCAGAGTGAGCAATAACGCACGAGCCGCTTGTCAAAGCGCCCGCCTCCCTACGTCTAAAATCAGAAGTCGCATGCCGTGACTGATGACGTCACATATACTTATTGTGTTTTATAACTAGCTTTTGATCGCGACTTCGTCTGTGTGGATTAAAACAAAAGTAAGTAGCCTATGTGTTCTACCAGACTATGCTCTACATATATGAGATTTCATAGGTGCTTGGTATAGATGGATTTAAGATCTCAGTTAAAGTTTTAAAGCTAGAAACCTTTAATGAAATATATTTATTAGCGTTAACTATGGTATCATAATTCTGTATATTAGAATTTGTTGTTGACATTTTCGCTATATTGCTTGTTAATTGCAAACTATATAGATAGCCAAATTTTCTTTACAAAGACCTATTTACATAATTTCAAATTTAATAAAGTTCACAAATAAACGATATCGTCTGCCCTTCATTGAAATTAATTGTAAAAGTAATCTTAATAATTTTAAAAGAAAATTGTTAGTGGCGAGGATTATTTTAGACAGAAATTATTTTATAAAAGTTTAACAAAGGTTTTCTACTAAAATAATACAAGTTGTGTTTTTATTAATAGATTCAAGAAAATTTTGTAAAAATTTTAAAAACAAAACGTACTTTTTAATTAAACAGTTTATTTGTTAGTGTGTGGTTTTTATTCGTATCTGTAAAGTAAATTGTTGCAGGACTCCATTTCATTCGATTAGTCATATTTAGGCCTCAAAATTACATAAAAAAATGGTAACTTGTAATTTCAAGTTCGATAAAACTAGAGAAAAAGTCTTGTTCTTTTGTAAAGGGTCTATAATATTTCCGTTTCGCGTGCAATGTTATGGTAAAAAGAAGTTATTACGTAGTTTGACTGAGAAACGAACAACTAAGTAGGAGAATAACTATTATACTTTTAAATCAGAACTGAAAGATAACAATTATTCTCACTTGTTGTGAAATATGTTTCTTTAGCACTTACCACGAGTGGCGATTTAGCGCTGTCTTCTTCAAACTCGTATTCCAGCAAGATTCTGTACCTCGTTTCACTCACACGCCAATATGTATCTTAACACAATTGTAATAAGAGCGAAGCTAACTTGTGCAAAAGTCTTTTGTTTTTTACTCCTTCAATCTTGAGTTGGAAAATGCAAAGTGCATCCCCCACAAAGAATCTCGGACGTTTTCCCTTGACGTTATAAGATTTTCAATAAAAGTAACTCATTGTGAATATCAACTTCGAGTGACAGTAAACGTTAAATTGCTTTCAAGTTTCTTTACAATATTAATAAAATTTAAAAGCTGTCATAATAATGAGGAATGATAGAGGCAGTAATTTTTTTTATGTTTGACCTTGACCACGATCCCACCTAAAGAAAGTTATATCAAATTTCTTAAGAATTATTGATATTTAACACATTTACTGCTGCACTCAAAGTTATAGTTGATTAAGCAGTCCCTTAGAGTTCTGTTATGCAACGACAGTAACGATCTCTCGTACAGACTAATTATAAGTGTGGCAAACTTGATTGCCATTATTTTTTATACGTAATGTCGTGAACTTGCCGACTTTGAAAGTGTTAAAAGACTATTTGTGTTTCCAGGCATGCAGTCAAGGTACCAGGTGTCGGGTATGGACGCAGCGGCGGGTCCAGGGGCGAACGGCGCCGTGCTACGTATTGAGCCAGTACGCGCTACTCGAGATGATGCCACCTATGAATGTATGGCAGAGAATGGTGTCGGTGATGCCGTTACTGCTATCGCTACACTCACTGTCTTTGAAGGTAAGTGACTTTCTGAGATTTGAAGTTAATACTGAATACTCCAACATATTTGACCCCTTTACATGACTGTTTACAGCTTTACAGCTGAAAAAAGAGTAAAAAAGTGTACAGTATATTCACAGTTATATGTATAGAAATATATGCTTTGTAAAAAATATAAATGTATACGTACACATCTTTGTACAAAAGCAACGTAGCGCCGCTACGCCGCGTCTACGAGCACGCGGCACGCGGCTACGAAACGAAAATATTAGAAAGATCCGATAGAAATACGTGACTTTCATGCCGAAGAGAATTGGTGAAGTTTCGCTCCACTACCGTTTTATGAACTTCCGATGTCGCTATTGTGAACCCCACTAGTATCAATATTAAATGCTAAGGCGTTTGAGAAAATCCAATCTCATAATGTTGTTTCAATGTTATCCTTGATCGGCACATGTTTTTAAACATATTTTTAGTGAAATCGAATTGTGGATAAGAATTTAACCAACTCGAATGGTATTAGATGACCAAGACTTCCTATCAAATATTCGTGATTAATTTATTTGTTAGAATACAACTTTGTTATTACACAGCTTAGCTTTTAACACAATTAGACTATTACAAATATATTACCGTACAGTTATAGTATGCACAATGACAAATTCTTATAAAACAAAACTCAAGCAATAAATCTAAAATGTTTAACAAATAATAAATATAGATGCATTTATAGCTTACGATTCAGCAACAAGTTGGGTAAAGTTTTTGTTGACGCTCACATATAATGCAGGACAAAGTTTGTCTTGTGTACATACTGTGTTATTTCATTCATATCATGCATCTCGGAAACTTTACTGTATACCGATAACTCGTAACTTTATTGTTTTAGGTATCTCTGTTTAAATTTTCAAAATGAACAGCCTTCGCTGTAAGATTGTCATTTCTAAGTTTTTTAAATGTTATTATTATCATAAGTCGAATTTTTACCATTAGTCTTGTTTCTTATTATAATAAAATTAAAATTAACTTCCTTTTCTAATAAGATTGGTTATACGGTAAACTGGTTCGAAGTTAACTTGTTTTCGTCGTAAAATTCAATGAATGGAGCGGGTATCCACAAACGAGGTCCGCTGCAGCGGGGGCGGGCAGTTACGACCCACGACCGCATAAAACAGGCCCAGCGCTGACACAATGATCCCGAAAATAACTCGACTAGTCGCCAAGACGTAAGCCTTTCAATAAATAAGTATTAAAGCTACGCTCCGAGGACGTACCATCGATAACGACCGTCTCTAAATTGCGACTGACGTTCTCAGACAAAATACAACGACAATTTCAGTTGTAAATGAGTTGAAATTATTACGTGATGTTCCCTCCCCTTGTCCGGTTAACGTACCGAAACGCCGACGATGGTAATTGACAACTAAATCGTGATAATTGTATCATATTTTAACTTGGTCACCGAGCACGATTAACTCCTTTGTGTATTTGCGAACATCACGGAGGGAGTAAAATTATTTTGTATTTTGGGAAATTAATGTGATCGTTGCTGTAAACAGTACCTTTATTAGGCTTTAAAATACTGCTTGATTACAACCTTATTTAATGTTATTTGACTATCGAATACAATGGATGATGTTATCTAATTCATCTAAACTTGTCATAGAAAATTTTTCCATGTTAAGGGAAATATGTTCTGACGTCAAATATCGACAAAACAATTTTGACCATTGCTGCCCGAAAAACAAAATGTTCTTTATTATACGTCGAACAATTCGCCGTAAAATTGTAAATTGAATAGCAGGTCAGTTGCCTACTCTTTCGGCTGTTACCGAGAAAGGAACTACAAGCCAGCGATTTCAATGTAATTGCAGAAAGTCACAAAAGAAGCTTCGCAAACGAAGTAGTACGTGATGTATCGTGAGTCATTGTTGTACCGAAAGGAAAGAAATAATCGCGGCCCCGAGCTACTGCCCTGTGGGAACTCGTTGCTTTTTAAATTTCTTTCTAATGAAACATTGTGATTTGATGTGAATTTTTTTCTGTTATTTATGATTTTTCTATTTTAAATGTAACTATTTTTGAAGGGAGTTTGCGGTTGGGTAATTAATAAAGTAGAAGAAAAAAATAATAAACTTCGTTTCCACTATGAAATTACAGAAGTCTTTTATAAATATTGAGTTTAAAATACATATCGTAGGAAATTATTCAATTATAAAAGCTAGTTCTCAACTTCGCCTTTTAAAGCTAAATTGCTTTGATAACTCAAGCTATGTAGGATTCAATTAATGTTTTTTTTCTTGCTTGTTCTATAATTTTTTAAATTACAAGTGTTATTATGTTGTTCTGGTGTAACTATTCCATGGTTAATGTTTTCCTTATCTATCGACCATTGAAATGAATTTTTAAAATCACTAATCGTAGTGTAAATGACAATAGCATAAATGTTTGGGGTACGGACTACCGATCTTGAGGTCGAATTCCGCCATTCGAAACTAGTAAACCATATCCTAGGACATGGTTTTTCTAGATTAATTGGTTAAAAGAAATATTAGTAAATTAACCAAAAATGTACTAATATTTTTTATTAAAAAATAAAGAAAAGAATGTTGTATTTCTTTCACTTGAAACATTTTCGCCGGTAGCAACGAAGACAAGTTCATGATTAACCGTTAAGGCTGTCCGTAAGTTTTGAAGCATTCGTTAGCGGTTTTAATTGGATCGGGCTGTGAGTTATGAAGTTTCACGAAGCCACCGCGGCGTTGTTCGTGCCGTCTGATGTTTTTATCAATCCGTTCTCGAAATACGGCACTCACTAAACGACTGACAATTACTACGTCATATAGACAAGCAATCTTACTTCTTACTTCTTACTAATATTATAAATGCGAAAGTTTAGATGGATGAATGGATGTTTGTTAGAGTTTATAGCCTAAACGGCTGAACGGATATTGATAAAATTTCGCATAGATGTAGAGGATAGTCTGGAACACATGGGCTACTCACTTTTGTTTTATTTTAATTCTACGCGGACGGAGTCGCGGCCGAAAGTTAGTTTTTAATAATTGTAGAATATCCTACGATATAAAAACTACGTAATAGATAATGAGGTAGTTGTAAAGAATGAAGGAATAAAAGTGTAGTTTGGTAATTTTATTGAAGATCGAAAGTAAGCAAATATGTCAGTGCTGAAACACACGTGTAAAAGTTGTCTCAGTTTTAAGAGAAGCAATACAAGGGTGACAGTATGCTTTTACATATTCAGTACTAGCTATTCCCGTGCGGCTTCGTCCGCATGAAATTATGAAAATTTTATATTATTGTTTGCGTTTGTCAAATTATCAATAGCAAATGTCAAAATGACATTTCATGATAACCCTCGGCAATCTTGCTTCCTTGATGTTGGCAGCATCTTATGGTCTCTTTCCCACATAAGGGTTTTTATCTAAAATATTTACCCCCTAAGTTTAATGACGTGAAAATATATAGCCTAAAGCGTGACGTAAGTCTAAGGATTTTTGTTAAATAAATAATTATTTAAAAATATGCTGTGATTGCTGACATCTTAGGCACAAAGAAGTGTATGTTTACGCTTTATTATATTAGTATAGATAGGAACCTCATATTTAAACGGGCGAAAAATAACCTAAAAAATTGTTATAAATTTAGGAGAGTATTAGTAGCATCAATTTCATCCCTTACTTTATTATCTGTTGGTAATCTCCGCAAGGCTATGAATTGGCGGCGGGATCCGCTTAACCTTTGCCAAGTTCAAGTTTTGATTGGGTGCGATGGCGTCAACTTGAGCTAATCCTGTTATCGGCCAAGTTATAATGACAATCGTCGGGCCATGCTAATGGACCGCATTTGATGCGTCGCGATTACTGGTTTGGAAACTTTTGGAATTGTAATGTAAACGTGCTTTCATTCTTTTCATGAGTTAGTAATTTTATCTTCTGTATTCAAATAATTTTCATCTGACGTGATGATCGAGGGAATGAGGTTTAGGAGAATTTAAATTAAAAGGAAATAACTGTATATTGAATTGGAAATATTACCAATTCAGCATTAAATATACAGCACACGTGTTACTTGTGACTACACCGGTTTGTTAGGATTAACCAGGACCCAAAGCGACGTTAATACCTATTTTAATTAATATCGGTCCCACTATCGACGCAGCCCAGACTACCGATACAAATCTTATTTATGTTATTGACACTTTAGCTTTATCTATAAATAGTTTATTTTAATCTTATATTTTATGATTCTATGTAACATGATGTTTACTGGTTAAATTTCAATTGCTATAACTACTCGTATATAAATATCTTAAGCATGTTTCAGTACAGAAATTTACTGTTTGCTTGACGTTTGTTTAAAAAAGGGCGCTTTTTAAACGCTCTACCCTCAACTTTGACTGAAGTAGCTGACATAGACTGGCATATTTTAGCCTACTTTTTTATCTTACATTGCGTAGACGAAGTCGCGAGCAACAGCTATTTGTAATTTAAATCGAATTACGCAATGAATTATTGGAATCAAATTTGTATTAAGATGAATGGACGCCGCACCCGGGGGGCGCACGAATAGATTGCTAATAGACATCATAACATATTGTATCCATAAACTATTCCACTATCGAGTAACCCATAAATCCTAATAACTGCGTATTAAAGTCACGTGCGCGATGTAATAGAGCCGCAGGAATCCGCCACCTGCCGCCTCCTTTAATCTGAATATAAATTATCCATAATTAAAGAGGACTCGGACACGGCGAGAATAAATGTGACCACTTGAAACAAGCGTCGAAATGTGCCCCGAGGTATAAGATATTATGAATCGTTATTGAGTTTTTAGTAAATAGCGTTGTCAATGTCAAGTATTTTTATGTCTGATATACAAAGAGAAATGCGGTGCAGTTTGTCGACATTTTTATTTGTGTCTTTATTAATGTCTTTTTCCTGTATGTAAATAAATAAATAAAATAAATTATTTATAAATAGACCGTTCATTTT